TTTATGTTTTCTTGATTCAGCTTTGGTAATTCATATATATCTAGCAATTTTTCCTTTTCCATCTTATTACAGTACAAGTTCTTGAAATAGTTACTGATCTTCTGATTTTCTGCAAGGTTTGTTGTGATTTTGCTCTTTTCATTCCTAATTCCATGAATATGAGTCCTTTCTTTGCCTTTTTTGATAAGCTTGTCTAAGGTTTTGTCAATTTTATTTAATTTTTCAAAGAACCAACTCTTTGGTTCATTGATTCTTTATATTGTTTTCTTTGGCTCAGTTGCTCTATTCTTTATGATTTCCTCCCTTGTGCTAGCTTTGGGCTTGACTTGCTCTTTTCTACAAGCTTGAGGTACAACATTAGGTTATTTATTTGAGCTTGTTCTGTTTCCTGATGTGGGAATTCACCACTATAAATTTCCTTCAAAGGGCTGGTTTCATTGTCCATAGGTTCTTGTATGTTGTGGTGGCACTGTCATTTGATTGTAAAAACTATCTAATTTCTTCTTTAATTTCATCTGTGACCCATTGGTTGCTCAGGAGGGTGTCATTTAATTTCCATATGTTTATGAGGTTTTTGTGGTTTCTTTTGCCACTGATTTCCAATTTCACTTGATTTTGACAGTGCTCGTGCTTTCCCTATGTCCTCTCTTGTCTCTATGAGATTCTTTTTGAAGGCATCACTAATCAATCATCCTGTAGTTACTTTTTAAAAAAATTGTCCCTGTTGCCAGAATACTGTTCTGGTTATTGTTTTTAATAAGTCCCACACTGGAGGGGAAGTGATTGATGGTTGAGAGTCAGGGTCATAACTCTTTCCACCATGTTTGAACAACAAAGAGGTTTCAAAGGAGGAGCTCTTAAGCTAAGTCTACCTGGAGTAGGACATAAAACTAACAAGAGCAAAATCAATTCAGTTTGTATAAATGGTTTTGAACCAAGAAACAAGTTTTGTTAAGACCAATTTTTACCAAAGATAATCAAAGAAAGAACCAATTTGTCAGTAGTACTTAAGAGTCTTTACCATTAATCTGATAGTAAAAGCTTCAGAGAAGAAACAAAACTGTGAATGAAAAAATGACTTAGAACAGCCATGGTTAGAATTCTGATGAATTTAGTAACTGATAGGATAATTCAGTTACTTATAGACATTCTTTGTTTGACAACTAAGTTCTGTGCCTGCAACCGGGTCATTAAGTGAATCAGTTGCTAAATGAAGAACTATATATAACATATACATTATAATATTCAGAACAAAGAAATGGTCAAAGAAAACTCCAATTTGATGATGGCATTTATTTACATAACTCTTGCATACAGTACTGTAATGTATAAAGAGCATTAAACAACAGTACTGGACAGTACAGGCAGAAAAATTACAGTTCTATACTACATAAACAGATATATTTTAAAAAGACACTGAGGTTCTATAAATAAGATGTACAGAATTGTATGAAAAAAAAAGACAAGTCCTAAGTCCTAGCAGTGTGTCATAAGCCCAAACAGTTGTTAAACAGGTAGGTCATTAAATGGTGAACATTTCTATTTTATACAATATTTTAAGATAACAATCATGACTGTCAATATTACATCAGGACCAATGGGTTTTCTTTTATTTACAGAATATTCTTCAGATGAATAATATTCAGTCTTTTTTATAATCAGCGTGTCACTGCAATAATTCTATGCAGGCTAACATCACCAACAAATAAGAGATAATTTTAGACTTTTCATAAATTTAGGAAACTATATTAATGACTACAGAGTTATTACCTGATGAACTTACTTAAATCAAAAAGGCACAAATCAGGTTTTAGGTGGCAAAACTGTTCAAATGGCAAATTTTCCCCCAGGTAATTAAAAATTTATCATCTTGAAAAAAATCACAAAAGTATGTTTCCTAGGGCAGGTCTTGTAAATTTTATACAAGCAGATCAATGTTAAACATAGATAATTAGATTCTAGTACCATATCAGTGCATCAAAAGTCAATTTTAGAAAACTCTCTAATACTCGAATTATAACCAACTTAATCACACATAAATTTTTTTCTCCTATGTTTCATTCTCTACAAATTTTCTATGACTTAATGCAATCTCCAAATTTTGTCCTTAGCTTTCCTTGTCTTTTTTGGAGCCAACTAATCATTTTACTCTAGGACAAATAAGTATTTTACTACACAAAATCTTTCCTTACCAAAAATGTATCCTCAAACTTAATGGTTTTCCGTTGTAACCTTGCAGCTACTTGGATTGTAAAAGGACAGGCCTTCTCCTCCTTCTTCTTCTCCTTCTTCTTTTTCTTCTCCTCCTTTTCCTTCCCCTTCCTCTTCCCCTTCCCCTTCCTCTTCCTCCTCTTCCTTCTCCTTCTTCTCTCCCTGCAGTCTCCTAGATGTTACATTTTAGCTAGAACTGGCAAGCCTTTGAGTCTTTACATGCTCTTGAATGAGAACAATATCTTAGTACAAACAGAATGCAGCAGAAGAGCAAGTTAACCATATAAAAGCAGTTTAAAAATAATCCCAAGATGTTCATAAATGTTTATCATGTCATCTAAACAAAAACATCAACTTTCAAAACAGAACGCAGGTGACATGTTCCCCAAAGGCCTCTTGTTAACTCTTCACAGGATTCCAGGAAAGTTTGCTTCTCCTCCTTTGGCAACCTAAGGCAAAAATCAACCCCAGCTTTCTTTTTTTCTTTTTCTTACTTATTTATTTATTTATTCATTCATTCATTTAATCTTGAGACAGAGTCTCACTCTGTAGTTTAGGCTGGACTTGAACTCACTGTGTATCCCAGACTAACCTCAATCTCAGCAACCCTCCTGCCTCAGCCTCCTGAGTGCTGGGATTACAAGCATGTGCTACCACACCTGGCAGCCCCAGTTTTAATAGGCACCAGGAACCAGTGAAATTTGTGTGCAACCAGGAAAATATATTTCTACTTGTGATCCAGCCTAACTTATTCTCCACAGCAGTTTAGGGTCAGGCTCCAGCTACAGCTCAGTCTGGTAGTCTGGGCCTTCCTCCTCTGTCTCCATCTTTATGGCAGTGTCACCCCTAGCACTGGCACTGTAATAACTTTTTCCCAGTTCTCTTTCACCTGTACTTGGGAAATGTTTGAGCTCAAAGCTCATACTCTACTGCCATGAGCAGGGGTCACTTCATGGCCACTGCAATCTCACACAGATCTTTCTTTTTCTATAAATCCTATTGCTTGCTAACATTTTCCCTAGTTTCAGGGGACTTTTCGGGACATCACCATACACAATAGTTCCCAAACAAACATAATGGCTGCCATCTCTTATCACATGGAAGTAGACAAATATCCCAGGATTTTTCTCCCAGCTTTTATAATGACCATAATCTCAGCACTCACAGGAATTTCTCTGGCATCCTGACTGGTGAACCAGTTGTGTCAGCCATAGACAAAACATGCTGAGACTATGGAGGTTTCCAAGAGAGCAGGGAAAATAGCCAGAGACAGATTTTGAGAGAGATAAGGTTGAGTAAGGCTAAAAAAATAATGGACATTAACAAAGAATCACGGTGGTAGTTATGAATCACTGATGAGGGAGGATCTACAAGACACACTTTTTGGCCAAAACCCACGTAAGGTACACACAAGGACTACAGTTCCACCCAGCCAAAATCCCACAGGAAGCGGGCAAAGATTAACAGCCATACCTGGGCAAATCCCATGCCAGATGTGTACAAATCAAGAGCCCAACCCTGCTAAAATCCCACAGCAGGTTCTGTACAGGTCAATAGATGTGCTTGCCTAAATTCATGGGACATGTACCAAAGTGTCACTCAGCAGGTGTAGTGGTGCCAAGTTACATGAATCAATCAATGGCTGTTGAGGTTACTTCAGGGAAGAAGTTTTACAGATTAAACTTCATAGCAGTGAAATTATTAGCTTTCTTTGCTTTATTGTATGACCAGCATTTCAAGAACAGCTGACTTAGAGAATAGGCAGGAAGCAGCTCCTACACTGAATATTACTTTGTCCAGTTCACAGCATCATTCACATAACAATTCCCCTGACATTCTGGTCCATATCCACTTGGAATGAATGCCCCTTTGACTCAACAAGGGTCTTGGGAATGGAAAACAGGTTTTCAGGAACATGGTGCCAAATTTTAATCAGGGACCACACAAACATGAACAAAATGAAAAATGGAAGATAACACTGACAATAGCAATACTATTTTCTAATGAACAACAAAAATGCCATTGTTAAAAGTTCTTTTTTTTTTCAGTTTTAAGTCTTTGCTCAGCACAAAGTCCTGGCAAGTGAGACAGGTTCTATAACCTGGTCGCAAAACATAAATTATGGGAGAATTTGGACAGGTCAACGGGACCTCTCTGACTGTTTCCTCACTCCTAAACTGATAAAGTCACAACTACTCTATGGACCTCACAGGTCTGAAGGTTTCAACTCCACAACCTGTACTTACAACTTGGGGCAAGTACAGGTCCGAGGGTAGCACTGGGTAGAGAGAGGATGTTTCTGGCCAAGGGAGCATGTACAACCAGGACCCCTTAGGTCTTTGGTGCCCAAGATGGGAGAAAAGGCAATTCATCGGAAGAATCCAAACTGCCAGCACTTAGCAGCAACTGAGCTGTTTAGCTGCTGGAATCTGACAGAATATTTCACAGCTGGAATCTCAAAGGCTTCCTGACAGCAAGGACCTTAATTAGATAATGCTGGTACTAAATATACTGAAAATTTGGCTTTCTTAACTATATCTCCATGGCCCTCTAGCTTCCTATAGAAAATGTCCAAAACCCACCATCCCTTGAAACCACCAGTTCTCTGCAGCTCTCACTTCCTGTGGTGAGCAAAGCCACTTCCTTAATGGCAAGTGCCTGCAACTCCTCCAGAGTCTCAGCTCCAGCCCTCAGCCTCTACCATCTCATCCCAGCCAGTCCTAGCTAGTGCCTATCTTCACCAACATTCTAGCACAGCTAGGTTTTCAGGGGTTACTGGGCATAGCCAGATGTCTGCTCCAGCTGTCTCCTATCCAGGTATTTGGCAATGGGATATCACAGGAAGCTCTGAAAACAAGTCTCCCTCCCTGGAGGCCTTCACACTGACACTGACCACAGCACAGCAGGTGCCTCCACACCCAAGATGGCCCATGCCAATGCCATCACCCCAGGGTATCCATTACTGTCTGCCAGCCTGGTTCAGGGGACACCACCACACATTCTGAGTCAGGGACAGCCTGCACCTTGCCTACCAACAAGGAAGTCAGGTGAACTACTACAATCAGGGTGTGATAAGGCCTGTGCCATCTGGAGAACTTGGCCTCTGCCTGCAAACCTATGGCTGTGTGTCGTACACATGGAGCGAGGGACCTCTGCCCTCAACCAGAAATAGTGATGGTGCTAAAGGAGGCTCGGCCCACAAATGTCTTCCACACTAGTCTCCACTTCTTTGCCCTGTACTAGTCTGGGTCTGCACAAGCCAGAACAGAAAAGTTTCCAAGGAGTACCAAGAGCAAGAAGGGGAAAGAATCAAGCTAGTTTGATTCCTAGCCTCAGGCCCTAGAAGGTCCAATCTGCAGCTGGGTAGTAATGAATACACAAATAGGCAGAATTCAGTCCTGAGACTTCACCCACTACTACCACCTTTGGTCAGCTCACTCCACTTCCAGAGTCTGTAAGGTGGGAATGCACAACACCACAATGGCCATCCCTGGAATGGAAATGACTCCCAGGAACAGACTGAGACAGGCCACACTTTTCAGCACCCTCATGGGGATCAGTCTCCCTTTTATACCACTCCCTAAACAATTCTCTTTTTTTCATCCACTGCTGTGTCCCTTAGGAAGACACTATAAAACTTATAGTGGTAAGGACAGTTTCATTTGCTTTCATTTTCAACAAGTTTTAAGACTCTGTGTTCCAGAGATGCTGTACAAAATATGTGGTTCAGTATCTGTCCTGTTCACATGTTTCATAAGGAAGACCTCTGCTGTCTCTCCTAGTCTACAGAAAGAGGTTTTTTTTACACTGGCCAGGGCATGGAAGGCACTGAGTGGACCTGAATGGAGAGCACTTCACTAGAGAAATAGTCTCTGAGGGTGTCTGTGTGTGAGTGCTTGCACACATAGGGCTGTGTGCATGTGCATGTGTATGTATATGGGTTGGGTATGGTATGCTTGGGATGGAGCCCAGGGCCTGGTGCATAGTAGGCAGTGCTCTACCACTGTGCCCACATGTAATGTTCTAAAAATCACTTTCATGTTTCCTTTGACTGACAACTATCTTATTACATAAAAGGAAAGCCATGAAACAAAGACATCAGGTAATAAGCAAAAAGAAGCAAAAGAATAACCTCCTAGCACCTAATGCAGGGTCTTGTCTGTGGTCCTTAAGGAGAGCTCATGGAAATGCCTTGCTGAGTCTGGTAGGATTCCGATTGTACTGGTGTGTAGGAGAAGCACCTCACTTGGCAGGGATTTTTTTCCTTTATTCCATTTCAGTGAGAGAAATTTCCCCTAGAGATGGAAACATCATTTGTGACTGCAAGCCCCAAACAGTGTTGGTCACAACCTGCAGGATTCCCCATGTTTCAAGGTAGCAGAAGTTATCTAGATTCTTGAGAGGAGTCTACCACCTGAGGCTGGGGAAAGTTTAACAAAGGCCCCAGTACAAAGTTCTTCTCATTTCTTGGCACTTGTTCCAAGCCAGGTACAATCAGAGAAGAACAGGGATGAGATGGAAACTAAGCTTTCAAAAACTCTGGATGCCCACAGATCCTGACAGGTAAACAGAATCTGCTGCTGCTTCCCTTAGCAGTCCCTGACCTTTACAAGATGCTGCCCCTATTAAACCTCTGAGCCAAGAGATGCCTGGTCTGAAGAATGCCAACTAGAGAAAGAACTTCCTGACCCTCAAGGACACAGGAACACTTGACAAGGGAACTGAGTCCAACCCAGGTTGGGCAGACTTTGCTGCCCTGGTGGAAGACATTCACTTTCCCCAATTTTTCACTCTTGACCAATCCAGTCATCCCACAGCCATTGAAGTCAAAGATGCTGGAGCCATCAAGGTGAATTGAGTGCAGAAATCAGGTGTCATAAAGAGTCCCTCTCACCAAATAAGGAAGAAGAAAAAAGCCTCTAGGCCAATCACTAGAGCTCCCGAGGCTAAAATCCAGCTGAAAGACACTGAGGAAGAAATACTTGTTTGCAGTGCAGTGACCAGTGACAGGCCTTTTATGAACACTGCTAAGTATTCCAACAGCAAACCTCTGAGAGCATTATTCAGCCGGACCAAGAAAACTAAGGGCTGTGAGCAAGGAAGGACAAGAGGACCAAAGAAGACAAGTGCAGGAAAGCATAAGAGATGAAGCAATTGGGGCATAAAGTCAAAGGAGAAGAGAAGCCAACCATTCCCAGCACAAAGCACAAGAGAAATCAACCTGCACTTGACCAAAAGGTCTTTCAAAAGCCTCACAGCTGTGTAGGCACACACATGCTGGAGCTGGTGCAGGTTTTCGACGCAGAGAGCAAGAAGACTGCCAAGAGAGCTGGCTCTTCTCCTCTCAGGCCCTAGGAACCTTGAGCAGCACCAAAGACCCCAAGGCATTGCCAACAACCAAACAGTAGCTGGGCACGCTTGTGAAGGGAAGGGCATGACAGGGCTCAGATCAGTTCTCTGAAACCACATGTTAATGCTGAAAAAAAGGCTCCATCTCCATCCCTGTGTCAGCTACCTCCACCTGGGAAGGTGAAGTTAATACCTTTGCCTTTTCCCAGCCCAGACAAGCCTCAGATGTGACCCATGTCTGGAAGGCCACAGCCCCTAGCCTCACATTGGCCCACTGCAGCTTACTCTGCCTGACCTACTGTTACAAGCACGGCTCAGTCATCCCAACCAGCTGCTGCTAACACCTCTCCAGTGGGTCCAGTCACACCAGCTCAGCCATCCCGGCAATGTCAGCCAACTGAGCTCAACCACCTGGACCCAGCTAGGCTTTCCTCAATCTGCGACTTCTAGGCCTGTGCCCCATGAAACATCTGCCTCTTTCTGGCCAGAGCCTGTTGCCACTGCTGTGACCAAGCATTGGTCCCTGACTAAGCTGCAAAGCCAATTTCTCCTCCAAGATTTCCACTAACAACCACTTCCCAGAAAGGCACCCAATGTTCCTGAACCAGTAATGTCAAGCCCCATCACAAAAGGACAGAGGCCAAAACACGAAACCATGAAGAGACAGGCTCAGCAAGAGCTGGAGCTGGCCACCAAACACATCTCTCTAGGGAAACTGCAGTTTTGCAGGCAGAGGCTAAAAAACAGAGGGAGAAAGACAGGGAAGTTGTTTGGTACCTCCAGTACACAAGATGAGGTAGGGAGAGATGGAGGGTTTGAACGGAGGGCAGGGGAATGGGGAAAAGATAAGAACCAAGATGGATTATGTAAAAGTACAAATTTACAGTGATGAATGTCATTATATTTTATATCTAATATATACCAATAAAATTAGTTTAAAAATAATAAAAGGTGAGAGCTGCTAAGGCTGTCCATGGCACATCGAGTACCATATGGCTTTCCACATAGACATATCAGAGAGATGGATAGAAACATGTTTATTTTTATGTACTGTTTAAGATTAATATGATCATATACCATTCAAGAGAGAAGTGTAGAAGAAGTAATAGATAAGGAATAAAGCCCCTTTCTGAGTTCTGAGATTCTGTACAATATGAAGCTTTTGGCACAGATGAGGATCAAAGGCTGCATTAGAAAGGACAAACTTAAAGCTAGATAGGAACACATGAGCACACAGGCTAAGAACTAAAGAGAAAGAAATAAGATTCTAGCCTAGGAAGGCCAAAGAAGAGAGATCACATAGGCTTAGAAAAATCAGGAATGGGTTAAAATGGCAGGAGACAAAGTTTGGTGCCAGGGCAAAAAGAAGACAATCTGAAAAAGGTGCAAGACATAAAAAGGGTGTGGGTTGATCAGAGGAATGGCAAAACAAATCTATCATGGAAAAGGGTCTCCCAACCAACCAGGCAGGCATTTCAGAAAATACAATTTGGGACACACATCTCTGACATGCTTGGGTCACCTACAATTATAGTCGGGAAAGGTGACTCCCTGGGGAAGGTGCAAGGAGAGTGGCTGGGGTTCACAGCAATCCTGGGGGCAGCAGATACGCTGAGACCTGGCCAAGTGAGGTGCAGTCACATAAGGCCCATCCAGAACACGGCCTGGAATAGAAATCAACTGGTTTCAAAATGTAATATCTAGGGCAGGGAATTTAGCTCAGTGGCACCATGTCTAGCTCACAAGGTCCTGAGTTTGATCCCCAGTACCAAAAAAAAATTTAATAGCCAATTTAGTTGCTTTGTATTTTCTCCTATGAAAACAACAGTGTCTTATTTCTCCCATTCCTATTTGTTTAGGTTTCCCCCAGCAAACATACACACTATAAGAAGAATGGATATATGCAACCTCAATTTTATTTAAAAAAGACATTTTTCTTAACCACAAATCTCACATATGAAATATAAAAAACAGGGCCATTGTAAAGATCTTCAATATAGTTTTATCCTTCTATGCAATATCCCAGGAACATACTGAATGCTGAGGAGTAAATGAACTGCTACAAATAGTTATATGAAAAACAAATATTTCTCAAAGAAAGCCCACTATGTGGGCTGTTTTATAGCAATATTTCCAGATACAACCCTTTATAAACTTTTGGCAAAAGATTACCTTATTATAGTTTCAGGGTTTTTCTCTTGTCTCTAAAATCTTTTTTATTTTTATTTTTAGTTTTTTGTGTTTGTGCTGGGCATATATGCTACCAATAAGTTACAACAGAGCCCGAAGAGTTTTTCTCTGGGGAGTATGTGCATGATAAGAGGGGCAGTTGTATCTTATGCTAGAACAAATATAAATTTTTTCCAAAATTTGAGAAATTCATTACATTTTTACCTTTAACTTTTATAAAAAAGGAAAAATAGTGACAATCCTCATACTTACATTCAATTGTATCTGCTGATCTCATGCTGTCTACATCAGTTAAATATCTAACAAAACAATAAACTTTGAGTCATTTATATCTATGAAAAAAATTTTTTTTCAAAAAACCAGTTTCCAGGCAAAGTGGCCACATGCCTGTTATTCCAGCACTTGGAAGGCTGAGGCAGGAGGGTCACCTATGAATTCAAGGCTAATTTAGACTACATAGTGAGTTCAAAGCCAGCCTGAACTATATAGCAAGACTCTGTCTCAAAAAATTTTTCACTTAGGGCCAGGGATTTAGCTCAGTGGCACTGCACCCGCCTGGCAAGCACTAAGTCTTGAGTTTGCTCCCTGGTACTGAAAAAAAAATCACTTAAGAATGGAGACAAAAATCCTAAAAGATTTTATTCCAAGAATGTAAGGATGATCCAACTTTTTTTTTTTTTTTTTTTTTTTTTTTTT